GTGACCACCCGTCCCGCCGTCGCAGTGACAACGAGCCGCGCTTCCACCTCGCCCTCACCAGGGCAAGCAGCCCGCAGGATTAGGGTGTACTGGTTCACCTGGTGGGCATCAAGCTCCGCACCGGCACGCAGTGTCACCTGCCACAGGGACATGGCACTCAGCAGGGTGCCTGCAGGCTACTGCCCTGCTCCCCGTTCTCCAGCCGCACCTCTGAACGTGGTGGTGGCGGTGGGGTCAGCACTGATGGCAATAGGGTTGAAGGGGTGGTCAGGTTCAGTGCTATCCAGGGTGACATTGGGGCTGCCACTTGTGTTTCTGCAGGACACGGTCACCTCGGCCACACGGGTGCCTGGCCCTGCATCCTCACTCAAGGCCACCACACGTGGCAAGTCAGGCAAGGCTGGCAGGAGACCCCAGGGACCACTAATGGCTCTCCCAGCTGTGCTTAAGGGAGCTCTCCTCCAGCACCCAGACACCCATGCAGACATGGGTCTCCTTGCCAGCCACAGTGGGGCCCAGGGGACCCCACACTTACCCGTCGCTCTGATGAAAGTCCCTGCAAAGAGGAGAGTGTCACCTCAGCAATGCCCTGGAGAGGTCCCAGAGTTCCCCACAAGATGTTCTCAAGATGTCCCAGTGGTGCCTGGATATGCCTCACTAATGCCCTGGCAATGCCCTGCTGATGCTTCAGTGATGCCTCCTCTCTGCCTGAACCCAGCCAGGCAGCTGCAAGCCTTTCTGCCCATCCTAGGGTCAGCCCCAGGCACGTGGGAGCAACTGAGAGGACCCTGTCCCCTTCCTCTCGGTCTGTCAAAGGGTGTCCTCAACACTGTGATCCTGAAGCACCTACCTGGGGCACGAAGGCTGAGGAGGAGGAGGAAGGTGAGGTGTCCGTGCGTGCCCATGGCTCGCTCGGTGTTAGGGACAAGCTATAGCCGTTGCCACGGTGCTGGGCACCACCCCGGGCCAGCGTCACGCTGGCCATCCCCACCCGTGGTGGCCGGCCCGTCCCGGGGAGGGACAAGGCACAGCCTTCGCGTCCCCAACTCC